ATAATTATTTCTTTCATCTCTGCACTCTCTAAATCTTTTTATTCAAAAATCTCTTCTTTTTTATCTCTATAAATCTGATGTGATACGTGCATTTTTGTTTTTGCACAAAAAGCATAATGTGTAAATACAGTGTAGCTTAGAAGAATATGGATATGTTACGCTACGTGTCAAGGTAGCGGCGAATGATGATTCGTCGCGAGGTCAACTGGGTGAGATGGTGGCTGCGCAGCGGATCGATGAGGGTCCGCGACGTGGTACAATCGAACCTCCGTAAAGTTAACCTCCATTTTTGTTTTATTCTCCGTAAGAATCACATTTTAACCTCCCGTATAGTAATCGAGCACGCATATACTAGCGCATGCGCCTTTTGTTTACTTTTACAGAGGTCGATCGTTTCCGACAAGTTACTTTTATATATACCACATAGTATATACCGGCGACATATATAGGGTAAATTAGAAACTTTAACATTCTTCTTCAAACAGTTTAGACACTTTAGACTAAAAATTTACAAAAATGTACGCTGTGTTAGTATGAGAGAAACAATAAAGAAAAACCATTTGGATTTATATTTTCAAAGATGTATTGGCAATTGTGGCCGGTTCAGATTTTTGAGTCTAAGACATTTGATTTGTATATATTGGAGCAATATTTAAAGCGTTTCCGATAAAGCTCGCTTGATAATATTGTGCAAGTAATTGGTTATTTTTTTAAATACAGTACACAGCGTGTAAGTACAGTACTTTGGATGCATTCGGGAAGACACTATTAGCGCTATTTGTGTCATTCTATCTTCATTGTTTTATTAGAGATATAACAAAGATAGATGAACAAATAGCGCTGATAGCGCGCTCCTCGAATGCAGTGGATTTGTGACAATTGTTTCTCTTGCAGATGTGATGGGTGATTTTCAATTGTTTTATACGGTATCGGACCATCAAGGTACACGTTATCTGTGCAAACATCTTACATTTCTGAATACACGAGATAAAATTACAATTCACAATTAGAATAAAAATTTCAGTTTATATTTAAAGCTCTAATTTCAATAAATAAATAATTTGGATAATTCCCTGTTAGTGTAATAGTATAATATAATTAAAAACAAAAAAATTGTGTGTTTAGGTTCACAACACACACAAACAAGTCGGCTAATTTTTAATACACAATTAGTTCAGCTAATGTATAGAAGTTTAAAGGACCTCTAAATATTCAAAAGAATATTTCGTTGAAAAAAAATTGACTCGAAACGGTTGAAGAATAATCGAACGGTTTTACGACATGATAATTATCTATACAATTTTAATTTAAGACATAGAGATGTATTTTACCTTTAAGATTTTTTTTCCTAATGATGAAATGGAACATATTATTCCGATACTGTGAAGGTATGGGGAAAAGAGCGCGGTGAATCAGTGATACACGGGGTCGAAGGGTTGTTCGAAAAGCAACGTAGACGTCGGATTCTGGCGGGGATCGCCCGGCCTTCCGAGTCGACCGTGCGAGCGAATGGTTTGTCGAGCTGACAGGATCGGGCGATTAATCGAAACGAAAGTCAGACTGCCGCGGACTGCCATGCCGCTGCGACGCGACGCGACGCGACGCGACGCGACGCGACGCGACGCGACGCGACGGACGCGACGCCGGCGTTGAGCGTAGCGCGAAGCGTCCATTTTCCGCGAGGAGGTAGTAGGCGTCATCGCTGCCCTCGCTCTCGTTACTGTTATCGTTATTGTTTTTCAGTGGAATTAAGTGCAAAACGTGAATGAGACACGCCGCGTTCGAGCGTGTCGCGAATCTGTGCGATCGATCCGATCGCTGTATAATTACCATTGCGTTAATTAATTACACAGTTATTGATCTACGTTGGATAGAATTCAGTGTGATTCTTTAAATTATCTGAATAGATTTAATCAGGATACAGTGAGAGATAGTAGCACACACTAAACGAAATTGTGTTGTTAGGAATTAACATTAAATTCTCTTTCATTTTTCAAATCGCTTCGCGGATTTTAATTTATTTAGACATAGCTAATTGCATCCGCGCGCGACAGATATGCATTTGAAGAAACACAATGCGCTGTGAGACACTGCAGCCACGCGTTCAAGTGCATTCCAATATTTCCAATTTTGAGCGTCCAGTATAAATATTGCTTTTTCCGCTAGCGTGGTAAAAGATTCTTCGTTATTTCATCAAAACCCTTTGTTATTTCTATCAAAAAAGAGGTGGCTTTATTGTTCGAACCTTGCGTTTGGATGATTTCGACAGCTATGTTCCTCAAATTTCATTGACACTCTCTCGTGCGAATCTTTCCATGATCGAGTCATCCAATTACCTTCTAAAGCAATAATAATTAGGTAATATAAAGCCAGATAGAAGGAATCGAAGGCGAATCTACTTTTGTTCGTGAAAGTCGTCTTGCCCAGATTAATCAATATCATATCCAGTATCATATTTGGAGTTGTTTATGACGGTAGAAATGTACGTGTATACGAAGTGTGTACGTGTATGAGAAGAGAATATATATATATATATGTGTGTGCATATATACCAATCCAACGTTCCTGACGATTACCAACGAAATTGTTTAATAAACATGGAAACTGTTTTTGTGCATAAATCTTTAGATTCTTTCTTGAATTTCTTTAAATCGATAAATCTCCTTTCGGAAACTTTAATTTATTAAAATGCAGTAAAGATACTTTTTAATTTTCATGTAATAAAGATAAATAAACAACAGTACAATATTTGCAATTTTGGAAAGCTGGGTATTTTGTTAATTAAAATTTAAAATAGATCCTCCTGATCGATTAATTTTTCCTACTTTTTCATTTTTTCGGTAAACGACGTATGACGCAATAATTTTTTTGTATTATAAAATTTATTACAATCAGTTTTTAATTTTATTTAATTAAAAATTTTTCTTAGATATTTTCGGCAAAAAATTATTCCGTTCGTTCATATATTTTTATGTACGAAAAACGCTGAATCGGTACGTCGCTTTACGGAACATTGACATGGTTTTTGTGACTAACAATAAGAACGAGATATTTTCATCGATTTATACGTGTGACAAATTTAGCAATAAGATTCTTTACATTATCGTTGAATGGAATATAATAACTAAAATTGATACCATCAAGCTAATGGATCCAATGTGACAGAAAGGAGATGAAGCGAACGTCGAAATCTGACTACGCGATGGCAGCGACAGAAATCGAACGCGCATACTTTTCACAGACTGTAAACGAAAGTGTAAAGCGAAAGTGTAACGGCATTTAGAGTAAGACATTCGCTAGATTTCGCGGCATCACTTTTAAAGTCGTTTATCAAACAGTGCAGAACGTATTTATATTATTCGACATAAGAAAAAACACTCTTCTTGAATAGCATTAAAATTAAAACATTACATACAAAGTGTTAGAAACGATAGAGATAGAGATCGAAAGAATCAATTGCTTTCAAATATCTTTTTTAAAATTAAATACCTTTCATTTAATAATAATTATTTTTAAATGATTCTTTTGTGTGTCTTAGTTGGAGATAATGAATAGTTTTTTCTTTTATTTTTTATATTTTACAAATCTTAGTATCCATTTCGTTTTAATCTTTTTAAATACATCTACACGAACGACGTGCAAAGACTTTTTTTACGGTTTTGCTGGAGAGAGAGAGAGAGAGAGAGAGGGGGGGGGAGAGTTACGATAAAGAATTTTCATTCTCTAATTCTTTTCTCATCATTTTGTTTTTTATTCGTTAACTTTTGGCACCTCTGATTGAACTCTCATTGCCCTCTTCATGGCTGACCCGTAATGGATCCTTGATCAATGATCGCGACAACTTCAGATTGAATTTAAATCTCCTGCCAGCGACGACCAACAAGGATTTCTTCTTCTTCTTCTTCTTCTCATCAATAATATTTTTCTGTTCGTGCAATGTTTATATCTCTCATTCTATCTTTGAAGTGAGGGAACATTATAGCGGTCAAGTGATAAGACAATATCAAGGCTGCTAGCGAACAATTCTCGTAGTTGCGCCTAGTCATCGTTACCTGTTATCGCTAACTGGCGCTAAAAATATTTATCAAAAGTAACGCGTCAAAAGTACCGCGGCATAATATACGACGCGTATATATATATATACGTTCAACATATAATATAATTGTAATGAGACTTTCTACCTTTGAATTCTTCACTAGAGCATGGAGTATTCCAGAGTTATCTATATTTTAAAAGATCAGACAATTATTATTCAGTATCAGAATTAAAGAATTAAAATATATTCATAATATTAGATAATTTATATATATATATACATATATAAAATTAATATATGTAATAAAATATTAATATATAACATATCGGGAATAATCTCCAATATCTGAGAGACGATATCTTACCACTGAGATTTGATCTATCAAATATCCATTCTTGTAGCTTAATCTCTTTTCGATATAAAGAGTAAGAGAAAAGGAAACTATACATGGTACTCTTATTAAAACGTATTATTTTAATAAATTTAATTTAGTGCAACAAAGATTTAATTTGATGAAATCTTTTCATTACAAGAATACCGTGCATTCCCGTCGTCATAAACAGATGGAAAATATTAGGTATGACTTATTATTGATGATTTGCCAATAAAAAGATCATTACCAAGCTTGATGACAAGAGGCCTGAAAAAAGCGTGCGACTTTCAAATGAAAGTTGAAAGTTTTCAACTTTGATTTCTTAATCAGACAGTTGGAAGTCGCGGATCCAATTTAAAGGCCGACAACTCCTATATTTATAAACGACTGGGCCAATTAAACGTTGAAAAGAGGTAATGAAGAAAACACAATTGACCTTGAAACTGATGGCCAGGTTTGGATTGGATCGCAGATCCTCGAACCCAAAGTGGACATAGCGGACTAGGTAGGCACGCGAGTAGATGACGACGACGACGACGACGTGGAGCAACATCGCGGCTATCAGTGCCGTGTAGCGTGACTGAAGGAGCCCAGGGTATATGTACGGCGTATTAATAGCCAAGTATAGAGCGGTGGTGGGGCCGCGGTTGCTCCCGGGTGAAAATAGAAAAGAATGTTTTTGGAATCCAATTGGACTTGGTTGGCAGAACGATGGGGCAATATGGCCGACTTGGCCGAGCGGGTGGACGATCTGATATGCAGTTTCGACTCGACTGGTGAAACGACCATGGATACGCTATCGATGCTGATATTCGGCTGGATGTTGTTCGGTCTGGTGGTGTTGTGCGTTGGCAAATATGTGTACAATCGTTTCGTGCTGAACGAGCTCACCGCCGCCGCCGCTGCCACTGCCGCCGTCGCCTCATCATCATCGTCGTCGTCGTCGTCGTCGCCGCAGCTCGGCAAGGATGGTGGCCATGAGAGTGTCGTGACGACGAGTACCACTGGTACCATTGTTGGAAGACTGTTTAACAAGTCCAAATTGGTATCACCGTCGTCGTCGTCATCGGTCGTTAGTAGGGCTGGTACCGGTGGTGCAGGTGGTGGCGCGGGTACCGTTAGTGTTGCCGGTGGCGGCGGTGGTACCGTTAGTGCTGCTGCTGTTGCTGCTGCTGCTGGCGGTGGTGCAGGGGGTGGTGGTGGTGGTGGTGGTGGTGGTGGTGGTGGTGGTACCAGTGCGGTAGCAGGTGCGAGATCTCCGTCGCCAGGCTATGTGCCTCCCACGCCGCCGATCAGGAAACGATTGACCCGGAAGACCTCCGGTGCTCTCATCAGCCCGTCTCGAAGTTCCAGGGCACTGCATCTTCCGACCGCGACTGGCGCGGATGCCGAGGCTGTGCGTTGGGTTAACGAACTGATCGTGTGGCTTCATCACGATCTCGTCATCCTCAATGAACTCTTGGCCACTTGGGTGGTTTCCCTTAACGATTTTACCGTCGGTTCCACAGACGAGGTGAGAGGACAAGAGTAAAACGTCGATTATTATCGTTTCTCTTTAATTTGGTTCGCCATAAAATATGTAGCGGAAACTTTTCATAGAATTTGATTTCAATATTAGCGAATTTTAAAAGTTTTAAAGATTTAAATTTTAAATCGCAAAGAGAGAGAAGGGTGGTGGGATCCTATAAATTTAATAATCAGATTCGTCACGCTCGATAAGGCGAGATACAAACTCTTCCCGGAACATAGGTGAAAAGAGAAGGGGACACACTTGTGTTGCACGCGTATGCAATGATTTCGAGTCTAGGTCAAACGCTCGAGCGGAATATATTTCTTCTTATTGTTAGATATCATACGTTTTAAGTTACAACAAAATAGAGAATTTCGTTTCAAAGCTTTTATTTTCTCTTTAATTAGGAAGCACATCTTCAGATATCTTGAGCAAATTTAATCTATAATAGTTAATTACTCGCTGCGGTTGTTCTGTTCAACGTATTTTATCAAACAATTTGCGCGTTTGAAATTACCGTTTCATAATTCATTCCATAAGTTTAGTATAAATTGTAAGCATTATTGAATCACAAAAATTCAATCTGCTCTCAATTATTTTATTTACTTTGAATCATCTCATATCATTTGTTCGCTTTGTAAAAAATTACGAATTAAACATATATACATATCTATTATCATATATATTAAAAATATATACAAGATGAGGAAAAAATATGGAAACCCTGAAAAATCTCAAAAAATATAAGTTTTACAATAACAGAAAAATGTTTCAAATAAAAGTTGTAATATTTAAAAAAGTCTATTCAATAGTCTCATCAGTTTGATCTTGACTGGCGTCGTTGAGGTCAAGTCAAAGTCACGTTGAATTTTTTAAATGGAACACCCTATTTTTTATTGCATATTCTCATAGCACATCTCGAGAGCTTTCCAAAACACTATAATTAAGTTAATTTTCGTCAAGTACTTTTTGAGTTATAAGACTTGAAGGTTACAGTACCTCCGGCATTAACATTATCCAAGGTGTCCGAC